GAAATCGGTTGACATCCTGAATTGGTCAATGATCAGGTTTCAAACCTGAGACCTTTGCTAGGGTCATGGACCTTTATAACTGATAAAGGTCACCCTTATCAAGGGCGCCAGGACAACCATAACAGTTTTTGAATGATATTACGATTGTATTTGTTATAGCTTTTAGAATCTTAGAAATTTAGAAAGATGAAGGTCAAATGTCATAACGTACATACACGAAGTTCATGTGTTGATTTGTTGAATTTGCAAGACAGTATACCGTAGTATGTTTGCTTTTCGAAAGGCGCTTTGAACTATAAATAAATCTGGTAATAAGGTGACAAACACATAACATGAATTTGACAAGTAACGAACCATTTCCGGTTCAATGACCTCTAGTAGGMGGTACACGATTTAGCGGCTCGTTCTGGCAGGCTCTCCTTTTTTCCGCTCCGCCTCCCACCCCCTCCCCTTCCGTTTTCTCTCTCCCCCCTCCCCTAGAGCCGCCACGCAGGCTTCGTGATTTAACGGCCGTTTATTACGTACTGGTACGTACCGTCCGCTTATGCAACCGCGCGATTTTATCTACGTCACTAATATCGTTAATATAGTTAAGGAATTAACCTTACGTTCACTAAAATACCCCGGGGTACGTACCAGTACGTAATAAACGGCCGTGGCGTACTGAATAAACACGAACACCTTTTAGTTAGCTTTTGAACTTTAGGAGTGGAGAAAATTGCCCACCAATCGCCAAAAATCTATCTATTTATTCAAGGGAATTCGGGATACACTCAAGATATACACAAGAAGTCAGATAAGTGAATATCTACGATACTTCAAAAACTGTTATGGTTGTCCTGGCGCCCTTGCGGGGAAGACACAAAGTACGGGACATCTTGGAGAAAACGAACGACTCTTCTAGATCCGTCTAGCTGCTGTGCAGGAATAAATTCTTTCATCGATAATTATTAGTTGAAACACCAAATGTTTTGAACAGCCGAAATTCATTTACCCTGGTTCCAGAGGCTTGTCTTTTATTCTTTTGCTTATTATATTGTCGATGTTTACGTTATTCGGTTTGTTTTTACACCATGCTTGGCATAAAAACCGATTAACAGAAACATCTTGCCGCTTCGTGGCTCGACAACATATAAAGCTAAAGAATAAAATGCAAGCCTTGTGGAAGCAGGGTAAAATACATTTAAACTGGATAAAGTCCCCGGGGGAAGAAGTCGTTCCTATGCACATGAGAGTCTTATAAAAACTCTTGTTTTGCTTAGCAATTGGATATCAACCGTTATCCAATCTATCACACAKTAACGATATGCAAAATATGAAAATATTTTATTTTTTGGGCCTTTACTTGAGTTGGCATTTTGTCTGAATTTTGCAAGAATTGGCTCTGCACCTTCTGAAGAGCTTGGGCTACCTGTGGCCAGAGGTGAAGTTCCTCGAATGCTGGCCAAGAAAAACGAAGGCTCGGCAAGGATAAGGATTATTTTCACAGATGTTGTGTTGGGTGATGTTGGGTGAGTCTAGTGGCAATGCAAATAGAAGTTACCAGTCTTTATGGCTTTATAACGATGTGAAGTGTGGATTTTTGTTTATTAAGGTAAGAAAAGTATAGACAAAATTATTTTTTGCCTTGCTTCGTAGTCTTGAAAACACATGAACTTWAGCACATGTCGTGCATGATAGCATCCGGGCATTTCAGTATGGCAGAGGACATCGTGTACATGTAATACTTATTATTTTTAGCTAATGGTTGAGTATGTCAGAAATTTCGTGATTGAAATTAAAAATAGACCTAACYAGTGAGTTGAAAACCTCTTTGGYTGACCATTTTTGATGTATTTCAAGCGAAAAGTTGACATTTCCATCTTGTCCGAGTTGTCGACCACGTTTCTTATTGCAAATCGGCGAGCCTGCGAGCCACACTGTGAGCATAGAAAAATATGAGTAAATAMAATTAATAAAAATAAATTTAATTGTACATACTGTATATAATCTTAAATAAAAATGGGGTAAGTGAAACAAAAACTCCAACTGCCTTTTTTTTGGCTGCTCGTTTTGGATTGGACGACAACGCGCGACGGGGCAACTTTCTCRCACTTCATTTTTGCTAGCGATCAACAATCAAATAGAACATTTCAAATAGCAGTTGCTTTGGTCACATCGCTGAAATTGTTCTCGATATTATTTCAATTAACTTTTCTTCTTGATATTGCTCTTCCGTTTTGTAATGGATGMACTACGTAATCACGTCAAACAGGCAGGTTATTAAGGTAATTAATGGCCCCTATATTCTCGGACGGAACCTATGCACGGACATATTCAAGAAAAAAATTATTTTGCACGAATTAAAGAAGAAACGAGTCCAAAAACAACACGAACAGATATTCTTGTCAATAAAGAATCCTTATTTGACGTTGTAATCTTTGTTATTAAAGTGCGGCTACGAC